TTCAGGTCTGTCCAGATACGCCATATCATGAGTGCAGGCCTGAACTGGTGTCTCAATGTTCACAGGAGTGGAGGAATTTCAGAGGATGACAATGAGAATGACAAAGCCTGTGAAAACCATCACTGCAAGAGTGAGAAGGCATCAAACAGAAAGTGGCAGGTGTCCATGATATCTTTGTTACGCCAGTGTCAATCAATAAAGGTGAAAACAGTGGAACAAGACCTACCATGCCTTAAAAATAAATGAATTCAATGCCTTCCCTTCCTGCCTCGTAAGGGATTTGGCTGACCTAGGTAAGAGGAATGGGGGAGTGGAGTCAACTCAGATGGTTTAGCTCTACTCTTCATCGTTCTCCTAACAGGAAAGAAAAAATACAGATGCAGTGTGAAAGTGAGGAAGGGCTTATAAACTCTGTATTATGGCTTCTCCATCTAGCTACTTTGGACTCCAGTCTCAAGGGGTCAACCAGAACTCATCAGTCCAGACCTATGTAGAGAGATTGTGCTGCAAGGATGCCTGCTGCCTGAGGCTCCAGGGAGCAAGAGTTGAAGACCACTGTGACAAAGACTGTTCAGGTTTCTGCCTTCTTCATATCATTAGGGAAAAAAAATGGAAAGTTTCAAGTTCACTACTGTTTTTAATCATAGTTTGAAATCTGTCAGCAGATTAGGGGTTCTTGGGCAAGGGAGTGGAGTCTACTCCAGTGATTAAGCAGACCTGACTGTGTCCAGCTTAGTTCCTAAGGAAAGAAGAATATTTGTATCCCCCGTCTGCAGGGAAGGATGGATATAAACACAGTGTTTATCCATCTTTGGGCTGGATAGGCATCATATTCCTATGTAGCAAGTGTTATGCCTTAGTAGACACTGGTACACTAAATAAAATTAGGACATTTCATTTTACTTAAGTGCTCTCTTATTTATGCCCAAAGAATATCTAAAGCAGGCGGGTTTTGTCCTACCCTTCATTTTTGCTGCCATGTGACCTTCTGTGGGGCCATGGAGGAGGCAGAGATGAACCCAAGTGAAAAACTAGCCATTAGTTTTAAGGTGATCCAGTTTACTTGTGTTGGCACAGGAGCAATTGTGATGTAAAGAAGGACTGATTACAGGAGGGTGGGAATGCTGCTTTGTGTCACTGCCACTTAATGTTGTTTGAAAATTGCAGCCTGGAAGCTTCATTTCCACCAGTTCAGGGAAATATCACATTTGTAACAAAATTTACAGGCTTGGGCCCATAAAGTGGTGTAATTAAGTAGTCTGTCAAGATTTCTATAACAAAGATCTATGGAGAGGAATCTCTTGTTTCTAGTTTTAAAAAGAAGTTCTGGATAGAATTGCATGCTTATTGTCTGAATCTGTAAATACTAGATTATGTTTTGTATTCAGCTTTCCATAAAATTTAAATATTTGATTTTTTAAATTCTTCTAAAAAAAAACAATGTTTCTATTTTAGGCTATCTATTAGGCTTTCTATTTTAGGCTATCTAAGATGCCATGGACAGCAGGATCTAATAGTAGAGTTTGGATATTGAAACTGTTGTAGTTTTGATTTTAGAAGAGATGGGTACTATTTACAGGCTTTTGCTTCCTGTTGCACCATGGTTTATGCTGAGTACGTTCTGAATATTGTGTGAGTTGCATACTGCTGATGTCAAGTACAGAATACTTGACATGTGAACTTGTTTTTCAGCCATGCCTCAAGCTCAGAGTAGCAAATAGGCTGACCTTAAGACCTTTGCTGTGGTGTAGCTATTATATTCCCAGTATGACACACTGAACATTGATTCCTTATGTGCTACCTGAAGTATTTAATGAATTGATTGTTCAGCGTGAAGCAGTTTGAAGTGATCTGTTTTTCTATTGTTACAAGATATCAACAGAAGGCTGATGCAACATCATAGCTATCGCTGCCTTGCTTGCAGAACTCTGCTGGCATGATACTGGCTTAGGTTCTTTCAATGAAGTTATCAGCCTAAGAGCTATGCAGTGGCATGTGCTGCAGCAACAGGTGTGATTGCAGACAGCAGGGATGGTGATGGACAGCAAGCAGTGACATAGTAGTGCTGGAGCTTCCTCCACGGGCAGGGTTGCTGGGGTAGAAGCTGTATTTCTTTCCACTCTTGGGAGACATCTGTCAGAGACATGGGCCATCTTAGCATGTTCCCCCTCCTCTGCCTGTGAGGGAAGGACCGGCAAATGGTGATCAGAGATCTGAGGGATTTATCCAAGATCGTGAGCAGGGTTTGTACTGGAACCTCGTAACGGTCTTCCTCAACAGTGAGGCAGCCCCCTGACTTCAAACCTGCCAAAATGGCTTTGTGCTCCTCCCAGGTGAAATGTCTGGCCTTCTTATGGTTTCCTACAAGAGGTTTGATGTTCCTTCAAGCACTGATCTCTTCCTTGCCATCTTTTGCCTAGTAGTGTCCATTGAATAGAATCCTCGCAGATAAACAGAATAATATTCAACAAGTGAGTTAAATGAGATTTGTCATCTCATTTTTTTGAGACTCTACCGTTTGAGATGCTGGGAATCACCAGTGCTAATCACCTTGGATTTTTATGTATGCTGGAACAGAAAAAATCTTGTTTTATTGACATGAGTGACATGAGTGTGGATTATTGAATTGCACAAACAGCTATAGCAAGCGTTCTGTTGGGTATTTGTTTTTCCCCCACCTTGAGTCACCTCAGTGTTTGTACTCATCTGATACCACATCTTAGGTGTATACAGGTAGGCAGACAGGTGAATGCAATCAAATGCTGATTTCTTTCCCACTGATTATAAGAAAGTCTGGAGGACTAGAGAAGATATGTCTATATCTGTAGATAAGTGAGGCAGTTAGTACCCGTAATTATAAAAGAGCTTCTGTCATCAGTAGCAATTCAGGGGCTCAGGGGAGGTTTTCAGGGGAATTAAATTTACTTTAAAATCTGCTGAAGTTATAATTCATACAAAGATGAGCCCTTAGTTTGAATGCAGAGAGGAGCAGTATTGATCATCGCTACTGTTGTGGACTCCTACACATTCTTTTGTAATTGAGGTTTGATGTGCTTTACAAAGGAATTCAAATGTCCCTGTGCCCTTTTTTCAGATGGAGTACAACACAGGGGTTATAAAATGTATTTTAATTAATTTGAACAGTACTAAATGTATGGGTATGCCTTTATAATCCAGATAAAATATGTTACTTTCCACTTTTTTTTAGCCAACTGCAGTATTTCAGGTTGAAAATGGCCGTAAGTATAGTTTGAATTCTAGGGAGATAGTTAAGCTGTCATTCATTCTTAGGTTGTAGGATGGTCAGTCAAGTATAAAGAGAAGCATGAATGCTGCAGCTTAACTTCCCATGAATCTCTTTGAGAAACTGTTGAAAATACTTACCTTCAAACCTTGTTTTCTAACCTCAGATGCCTGTTTTTTAATTAATTCCTTTGATCAGGAATGGGTTAGTTACATTTATCCAAGGAAATGTAGCATATTTTACACTTATGTGTTAAGCTCACCATGAGTAACTGTCATTTTATTAACATTTCTCTCATGTTCAAATATTAGACTTAGGCCCTGTCCTATGGCAAATAGCAGTGTTTGAATATGCTAACAGAAATGTTTTTCCAATCCTAGAAGATAGAGTACTTAATGTAATTGGTAAATCAGATGATATCTAGCTCTTCATTGTAATGCTCTACTTTACATGTAAATTATGTTTTGAAGCACCCTATCTGTTCTCAGTAGTGATTAATCCTTGAAATAAAGGGGGAGGGGAAGTAGCTAGTTTGTTTTTAATGATGCATTCCTCCTTTGGGAAAGATTAACTATGTACAACTTTGTTGAGTTTAGCAATTTGCAATGAATTGTTGAGTTCTCCACAGAGACCAATTCTGTTCTTCCACAAATGCGTTCATCAGGTTATATTACCTTCTGTTTCTCTACGGGAATGAAATTCTTACATCTCTATCTAGGAGAATAGAGAATATGTTCATTGCTAGTATTTGAATTTAACATAAATATAGCAAGAAAAACTAAGCAGTAATATATTTCATGGGCAGATCAAAGAGAGGGAGAAGGTGGCTATTTCAAAACATGCTCTTATTTTGTGTCCTTTGTTTTGCACTTCTAGATTTTGGTTGCTTGCTGATTCGTCTTGGCTGTCTATGACACGCTGTCAGCTGGTCTTTAGCATCTTTGGTTACCTCATTTTCCAGTTCATTTTCTTTTTTTGAATCATACACAGTTTTCCATGACTTGATTAATTTTGCTGACAGACTTCTTTGTTGCCTTCTGGTCCTGTAAGTCCCACAGCAAAAGTGTGAATATGTGGTAAAATCTAGCTTAACTCTTGCAAGTGAGAGGCAAAATCTCTGTGAATGTTTGGATTTCCTATGGGAATCTGTGGAGGATTCTTGCTAACTACCTTTTTTTGTGTATGGACTCAGTAGATCACGCTGCACAGAATTTATCAGACTTTTGGAGAAAAACTGTCATTTCAGAGAGCTGTTGAATTTCTCTGAGTTAAGTGAACTCTGAAAGCTGCTGCTTTATTTAAGATGGTCTGACTTGGCACATGCTCAGTAGCTGGATATTAGCGGAGAATGCTCGAGCAGTGATACGTGAATGTGTGCACAGAGATACTGCAGCCTTTCAGATGTTGTCCAGAGGAAGGGATTAATGGATAATGATCAAATGCAACAACATCTGCACGTTGAATCAGTTTAGTATCCATACACAAACAGCAGTGTGATAATATTTCATTCTGTCACGTAAAGCAACAATGCTAGCAATGCTAACAGGTGCTTATACCAGTCCCTGCAGGACAGGAGATGGCAATGAATGAACACGCTCCTCCTTCCCCATGCTGGGAACTATTACAAATGAGTTTTGTGTTTGTGGGACTGACAATGTGTAACAGCTTTCACCTGCTAAAAGTTTAGGCTCAAAGTCCATTGGAAGTGGTCTTCTTCTTTCCACTTCCACGTCAGAGAATATTACAAATATGAGTAGGCCTGCTGGCCTGTTTTTGCTTGCCTGAATGCTGACTGTATTTTTCGCAACTTTCTAAGTATTGAGATGTTGAGTGAATGACTTGAAATAAACAGATATAGAGAATAAATACAACAGACAACTCACACGTTCTTTTCTTTCTTCCCTCCAATCGCAGCCACAGGAACAAGTCTTCAGGCTGGCCTCATCCGTCAGGGACCTGGAGCTTGAACCAGGGAACACCTTATGGATGGGAGATGACGGCAAACAGAGATGGAAGGGACTACTTCATCAAGTAAGCGGGTAGTGGGAGCTGTGCACACCACAGCATGGTGTTGCAGCACTACTCCTGACAGTACTTCCTTGGGATCCTAATTGCAATTTCAGCCTTACACAGTTCTTGTTTCACTGCTTTGTTTTATTGCAAACTGATAGCTTTGGCTGTATTTCACTGAGCCTTGTCTTTTATTACGCAATGTTTTGGTACTTGGTTATTTAATTTACCCAAACAAACACTGAAATAAGGACCTGTAATTCACTAAAGAATTGCAACAAATGTCATTAACCAAAATAGAAATAAAAATGCCATGTTTAAAGAGTGAGACAAAAGGTCAGTTTTGACTAGGATTAACTACTCTCCTCCATTTCTGCCATGTGAGCTCTTGTAGCTTGTCCAATATATTCATTACACTGGTAGTAACAAGGCACTTGTTTTGATCCTATGTATTTACTGTTCTAATTCTTAGGTTACCCATAGTCTTTTAACTCTGGTTTTAAAGGTTTACAAAATAAATGTCAATGTGATTTTATCATAAACAAAACTGTTTTTTTTTTTTTTTTTCCCAGTAAAAACTGCACAGAATTATTCTTAAAATTAGTTAAATGGCTTGGATTAAATACAGTTTGCTCTTTGAGTACTTTTATGTGGCTTTGGAAATCCTTGGCTAAGAATGGGAGGTGGTAAGTTAGCAGAATGACTGCTTGGTGCTGAAGTATTAGTTACTTTCAATTATGTATCATTTTAAGGCCAGCGTATAGATTCTGCTCATGTGAAGGGATGATTTTTGTTGTTTTTGTTTTTTTTCCCCAATTATTAATTAATTTTTATGTTTATCATTCTGATTAGAAACTTGCAAATGCTTTAAAATTTCCTTCTTGAGAATTGCAGCTCTTTCTTTTAATACAGTAAAGGATCAGACTTGCTTAAAATTCACCATTAAAAAGTCCCAAATTTTCTCAAGATCTTTAATCAAAAATAATGCCACAGGGTGAGATCCCCTTTCCTTTCCTTTGCATTCCTCCCCCATTTGCCCAGTGTGTGCCTCTGCTTCCCAGGAGGCAATTACTATTGGAGCCAAAGCAGTATTTGTAGCCGTGCAGTAACCTGAAGGCTTTCAGGGTTTAGGGAACTCTCAGACATGTCCAAATTGAAGCAAGTTGTCCGTGTTAATGAGGGCTCAAAGCTGACTTTGAAATGCCACATTCTTTCTGTTAGAAGTATTTTGCTCTGCTTGTCTGTGAGACACAGGGTGCAGCACTGGGCAATGTGGTGCTGAATGCCAGGCACAATACAGCTATATTAGCATAGATTTTCTGCCTGAACTAATTAGGCTTGTCAAGAAGTATAGGTGAGCCTCAAAAGCACTGTGCTGATGGGACTGTGCTACTTCTGTTACTCTAATTACTGAGGGAACCTGCACCACTTAAAATTGCAAATGTAGATGTGAGTAACTGCGAGCTACCTGGAGTGCAGTAGGTCTTTCTCAATATTGGAAACTACTCTTCAGAGGCTTAGATTTTTTTCTGCAGAATTTCAGTGTGTTCTCCTCTGCCTGTCTGAGAATCGCCTGAACAATAATATCCAGCTTATGAGGACAGGCACCACATTGGATTCTTCCTTTTTCCTCACTGGTCACATAATGAGATGCTCTACTAGGCTAACTATAAACTGCTGTGGCTTACAGAATGCAAAGCATTAATTATCATTGATTTTGTAATTTGTGAGCATTTTCTAACGTTCAGATGATAATGATCATTTTGTTTGGGTTTTTGGATTGCCTTTTAGTACCTTGATGTGCCATAACCCTCTCTTAAGTGCAGAGGAAGTGAGTCTAGGAACAAGATTCCAAAATAGGCAGTGAATGATGCCAAAAGTAGTGTCAGATTTTTTTTGTTGGTGTTACTTCGGTTTTCGGTTTGTTCCTGTATTTCTGTGTTGCTGCAAGGTGCTTGCTCACAATTCTCTTTGAGGCCCTAGGCTCCCATTTATCTCTGGATGTAGATTGCAGGTACAAATCATAGAAGTAAACTGACAAGATCTTAGCCTTGGTTTTCAAAAAGAATTTAAGAAAAAGCATGGATTTTGCAAAATGCCATTTGCTGTAGTTCATTTTCAGGGTGACCATGATATTGATCACAAAAAAAAAACCCTCTGCCTCTGAACCCACTTCCTACAGTCTGTGAATTTTCTAGAGGCAGGAAAAACTTATAAGCTTGATGGCAACTGCCGCTTGATTAATTACATGCTTTATGCTTAAAATACGTAACAAAAGCAATGTAATACAAACATTACATGAATTATGTGGTATTATTTCAGAAATTTAACAGAAAGAGCCGTGCTCTTTCACAAATTTCAAGTGTTCTAACATCAGTAACTGCTGGAAAAATACAACAAACTCTTGGGGTAAATCTTTCCTGAGCTTCAGATGAGAGGATTTTTGAGAAATCAAGGATCTTCCTACATATCCAGTCTGAAAATGCAGATTGATACTAGAAAAAATTTTCCATCAAAGAGCTCTTATTTGGCTTGCTAACTACAGCTGTACCGAAATAGTCACTTTTTCACCATGTAGAGAATTAACTGCTAGCCTAGGTTTTACCTAAACTTTTCAGACCTAGTTCCAGGTCAGGTCTGTAGGTATAAGTGTTTATTCCCTGTTGCTTGTGACCATTTCTTCTCATGGTATCTTGTTTTGGCCTAGATCATGCTAAAAAAGCCTCACTTGCTTTGCAAATACCTACTAGAAAGGACACAGATTTATGTAGGTGTTACCTTATTGTCATATTCTTCACACATTTCTTTCTTCTGTATGCCACTTTTAATTCTCCTTTCAAAAGTTGACAATCAAAATGGTGGATCCTTCTGCTGCAAAATAGGTTTGTGGTACAGTAGTAGTGAGGGGCTAAGGGATGGTTTGCATTGCAAAGCACAGGTATGGAATCACATCTTAACATTTGTGTCCTAGGCAAGGACATTAATCAAAGCATATTCAAATAACAAAGAAGGATTGTAGGATGGTTATTTTGTACAAGTTTGGCATCTGGAAATAAAGTCTCTCTAGGTTAGAATGACGAAACAGCCCAGTTTAGCATTGACCTCAAAAGACCAAGTCCAGCCTTCTGTGGGAAAAAATAAGCCTAGATGAGATCATCTAGCACCCTTTCCAATCATATCTTGGAAAACTCAAGTGATGCAGATTCCACCACATCCTTGGGGAGGTTGTTCCAGTCATTGGCTGTTCTCACTCTGAAAAATTTTGTACTGTTATCAAGACAGAGCCTGTCCTGGTGCATCTTGAATCCATTACCCCTTGTCTTCCCCATGTGACTCACTGTAAAGAGACATCCACTGTTCTCTTTGTAGCAAGCCCTCAAGTGCTGAATACAATGCTGTGGTTCCCTTGAGCCTTCTTTTCTCATGGGTGTAAAGATTTACCTCCTTCAGTCTTTCATCAAAGGACAACTGCTTCTCCAGCCCTTTGAACAACTTTTTGGGCCTCATTTGGACCCTCTCCAATTTGCCCACATCTTTTTCTCAAATTGCATGGGCAGTGCTGATAAAGCTCCCATAAATGCAGCCCAGGGTCCAGTTTGCATCCCATGATTGCTGCTGACTGCTGTTCAGCTATGATCCCCCAGGGCCCCCAGTTCTTCTCCAGCAAGGTGGCTCCCAGCCATACAGATCGCTGCCTGTACTGGGCTCTTTGGGTGCATTGTCCCAGGAGCAGGGCCTGGCTCCTGTCTTTGTTAAGTATCACACAGCTATTGTTTGCCCATTCCTCCAGCCTGGCCATCTCTCTCTGTAAGACAGCTCTCCCTTCTAATGTTAAGAAGGCTGGGAAACTAGAAAGAACTCCTTTTCTGTACAGAGTCCCTTTTTGAAGGGAAACATCCTTTTTTCCTTTTTCTTTGCATTAATATCCAGGGAAGGAGCCAACAATACAAAGTTCTAGCTTCTATGCTATCACATATTTCTGCATGTCACAGTTGCTCTTTTAGTAATGTCCAGAATCCCCAGGCGTAGCCTGTACAAAGCCAAGAATTTATCAGGCTTGCAATGTCTCTTGAGATCTGTTTGGGGATTTAGCACCAAATTTGTACCCATCTAAACTACCTTATGGTGATGTGTTGCAGTTGTCTGTATTGAAAGCTGATGTACAGTTTTGTTAGTAAGGCTGAACATATTCCAACTGTAATGAAGTCATACTATCTGAAAAACAGGAGCTGTCATTGCAGTCTCTAATTATTTGTCTAAAGAAAAGCCCTCTTTGGTTTTCAAAACAACTAGTTCTGCTACCACTAAATGAAACTATGTAAATGAAAACAGTATGAAGTTCTCTTCCCTTCTTCTTTTGCCTCTGGATTTTAGGAATGAAATAGTGAGATGATTGTTGACAGTTATGTCAATAAAGGAAGAAGAAAGATCAGTGAGATAGCATATCAGATTGTCTTCGAGGGTTTTTATAGCCATACACATTAACAAATTGCATCACGCTAAAGGAGAAAAAGCAATTCAAATCCTCTGCTTGGTTTTGATTAAAGATGTGTAAACCAGGTATTATAACAGAGAAATGTGCACATGAGTTCTATGCGAGCAAATAACATAATTCATAGCAACGTTAACTGCTTTTTAGTTAAATAATTTACTTAGTGCCATATGAACATATCTATTCAACTGCAAGCAGACATACTGTAATTTTGAAATTGTGGGAGGAATAGAGAATCCAGGAGAATCTCTATGTGAAATGAAAAGTAATTATATAGTGTCGGTGCAAATGCTTTAAGGCGAGAATGTGAAGAGATGTTTATTCTTTCTGCTGATGCAAATTTGGTTTCTTTCAAACCTATGAAAGCCTCTGTGGCCTGAGCTGATCGGTGGGACTCCCTGTGCCAGGCAGCACTTAGGTAAAACTGTGAGAAGAGTTTTATCACAGTGTTTTGGAATGTCACTATCAATTCATTATCTCTCTGTACAAATGGCACAAGTGGGGTCATTTTGAAAACCTCTAAAATACT